GGTCTCTCCTTTTCCCATTTCTCTTCTGATATTACATCTGCCTCACTAATATTTTCATATCATAATTCAAATAATTCTATTCCCTAGCTTAAAACCTTCAGTGTCTCCCCATTGGCTACTCCACTGAGTAAAATACCTTAGCCTGACATTGAAAGTCCTCTGCAAAATGGCTCATCCTCCATTTTCTAGTTCTTCCTTCCATATATCCTTATGTATCCTCTACTCTACTCTCTAGCCAAATAAACTGCTTACTTCCTATTTCCAAACACATCTAGTTATTGTTTTCTCTGCCTCTTACTCTACTTTCTCATCCCTTTCCATTTGATTCTATCACTTCTGCCATTCTTTAAAGAACATTTTAAAAGCTACTTCCCCAAAAAACACCCTTCATGATTCCGTATATTTGTGGGCTCTGCATATTTTGAATTTCATAGCATTCACTATTTTTTACCTTTTTAAAGGACATCATTCTATATTTTTTCACTTATTATAAGATTTTTATTGAAGTATAGTTGATTTATAGTGTTTCAAGTATACAGCAAAGTGACTCAGATATACATATATACATATATATTCTTCTTCAGATTCTTTTCCATTATATATTATTACAAGATATTGAAAATAGTTCCCTGTGCTATACAGTAGGTCCTTGTTGTCTATTTTATATATAGTAGTGTATATCTGTTAATCCTAAATTCCCAATTCATCCCTACCCCCCTTTCCCCTTTAGTAACCATAAGTTTATATTCTATGTGAGTCTATTTCTGTTTTGTAAATAAGTTAATTTGTATCATTTTTTAGATTCCACATGTAAGTGATATCATATGATATTTGTCTTTCTCTGTCTGACTTACTTAGTATGATAATCTCTACGTCCATCCATGTTGCTGCAAATGAGATTATTTCATTCTTTTTTATAGCTGAGTTATATTCCATCATATATATATATATACTAATGTAAGCTTCTTAATGGCAGGATTTTTTTTTCTTATTCATTTTGATTTCCAAACAGTGTTAAATAAAATTTCCTGGAGATAACACATGAGCAGTAAATAACCCTTGAATTAAATTAACAATTGTGTCTAAGCCTGGCCACCACCTTATACCATCCATCATTATCCCAAGTGGCAAAAATATTTGGATAAATGTCTGTAAATGACCAACAAATAAAAAACTATGTTGCTTCATTCTGGAGAAAATTTTTTTGAAAGTAAAACACCTCAAATGATTAAATAGCCTTTTACAATAGTTAAATTGTAAAAATTAAGTAAGCAATAGAAATATATGAAATATATCTATACTTAGTTCAAGTAATGAGTAAAAGTATATTTTGCTTGTTAGGAATGGGAGAGATAGGAAGCAGAGAAGAGGAAAAAACTGGAGAGTAATTACTTTAGATATGAGATGTTAAGAGTTCCTTGGAGATGCAGGTAAATTATTAATATATTTATTCATCATTTTTCAGTAAACATGTATGGAGTACCTACTACATGCTAAGCACTGTGCTAAGCCCAGGGAGTACAAAGATGAATAAGGTTTAATATTTGCTATCAAGAAACTGAAGCTTAGTGAGAAAAAGATAAATAAACAGATAGAGGAAAATGTAGCAAGTATTACAACAGAAGGATCTGTGAAGTACAACTGGAAAACTTAGGCAGGAGGCTCTGTAAAGGTTTCAGGTGAATTAGCTCTTCTACTGAGAAAACAGCATGAGAGCTAGGAAGGGCAGGCCTTTATGCTTTTAGAGTATTTATGCCCTCTTTTACTTGTAGATATTGTAATGATAAATTGATAATATTCTACATAGTATTAATGTCACACCATGGAGGTATCACTATCTTTTGCATATACTGCTTTAAGATATTTCATGAACTTCTGATTACGAATGACAGTGGATGCACATATTTATTTACTCCTCACCCTTGCAAAACCACATTAAACTGACAGTGAGTGAATTTTAAACTTATAAATCCATAAGGATGAAAAGAAAAGGAGAGGAGAAGATACTATATAAGCAATATCAAAAACATTTCTGAAATGTTGGAAGATAGGTGGATGAATGGTAACTGCTTAGCAAACCAGATAAGCTGAAACCTCAATTGAAAGAAGCCAATTGAAAGAATTGAAAGAAGCCAATAGGAAGCCAATAGGAAGCTGCCAATTTTACCTCAAAAGCCCAGAAAGTCTTAGGATATGAAAATACCAGGTATCTCTGAAGGTGAGATGTTAATACAATGAGGAAAGGATATATTAGTAACACAAGAGAATTAGTTGGAAGTTCACTTAAAAAAAAATTAGATGGTAGATCCTCTCCCTGACCCCAACAGAAGATCTAAAGTTTGCACTCTGTAGAAGTTTGTACAGCAGAAGACATGTTCTGTTGAGTAACAGAGGATGAAAGGCAAATCCCTGTACTGAATGGTAAGACCTGAAAGTCATTTTCTGGTTTACTTCCCAGAACATAGACCTCTAGGTTTTTACCCTCCAAGCATGAAACTGGAGAAGTCTTCTTTAGAGAAACTGAAAGGCCCAGAGAAAACATGTACATGTATGAGATTTAGGGTCTCTCAATTAAAAAGCCATGTTGCCACCTTACTGTAATAAACCTCACCAATTAAAACATCCCTGTAATAATGGTTTTCCAAGTAATTATGAGGCCCCTTATTCTCAAATATAGGAGATAGCCAAGGATAACCTAACATATGGAGAAATCTTCTAGCATGAAAGAGAGAAACCAAAACATAGACTACGGAATCTGGATGGGTTCAGGTTTCTGGACAGAAATAGGAAAACTAAAAGATAGGAGGACTTGAATGTTTAGAGGGGAAATTATTTCCAATCTAAAATTCAGTACCTAGCCAATGTACTTAAAGAATATAAGTAGAAATCAAGTATATTTATAGAATAAGAAAATTCTAGTATATTCAAGGCCACAAAAATTTACCTCCTATGTATTCTCTTCAGGAATCTTCTGGAAAATGAACTTCATTGAAAAGTTGGCAGTAAACCAAGAAAGAGAATCAGAAAAGAAGGAGCCAGGAAAAAATAAAAAGAATGTCCCAGGATAATGGTGAGGGCTCTAGGATGGACATCTGCAAGAAAAAATAATGTCTGAAAGGACTAACAAGGAAACTGATTCACTTAACACAGATGTGCCTATCAAAACAGGGAATGCTTACAGAAAGTAAACTCAATATATCTGATGTATTAAAATGGAAAAGGGTGATGGTTGAGGAATAAACACACAATTTATCAAAGTGAGAAGATTTTGGAGATTGAAAAAAGTGACTTAATGTGTTCAATGACTGATCTGAAAGAAAATTCCATCACTTTTAAATATTTAAAGCATGGTTGCAGGAAACGCTAAGAAAATAAAAATTTTAAATCAATTCCACTGACAAAGTTTTGCTAATTGATTTATTTGAAAGCTCCTGAAATACACTGACATACCTCTTCAGTGATAGCTAGAGTATGGAGAAAGGATTGTTGCCTGTTAAAGGTGTCATTTGTACCTGATTCTAATTACTGAAATAAATGTGCCTCTCTCTTAAAAATTGTGGAGCAAAATAGGAGAATGAGCTATCATGTTTAACCTTTCTCCTAAAATTAAAACTGGCTAGAAATTAAAATTCTTGCTGTAACTGCTAGGCCCCGTGAGATGCCCTAGAAATCTTATAATAAAACTTCAACTTGGACTAATTTGAATGGCTACCTATTCCCTGCAACAATCTCTAACTGGTATGTGTAATAAAATATAAGCCATATAAATTGAACAAGATTTCATGGGAAACTTCCTCAGCTTAGCTATTTAGTGATTGTTCTTTACCTAAGAGTACTTGATTACATTTTCATTCCTACAGGAAGAGTCTACAAGTATAAAACAAAACTCTTTCTTCTTCACCTCAATCTAGCCTCAACTCAAATCTTCCCAAAGCCCTTCAGACATACTAGCTCATGAACTCAAATTCATCAAGAAGCCTGGCTGTTGTGGGAAACTGGTCTTCTGCTTTGGGTAAATCAAAGGAGGAGAAAGACAAAAAATTATATAGTAGGCCAGGAATGCACAATAGGCTCAGTGTCCAGCTAAGAAGTGAAATAAATTTACTCAGTAAAAACAAGAAGCGACCCCTTATTTTCAAACATAATCTTTTTAAGTTTACATGGAATTAGTCAAATTGTACTATTTACCCAAATTAAATAAATTTGACTAGCTTATTATTCAGCCCCCTCCAGTTTCCAACAAACAAAGCAAATGCTCATCTCAAGGCAATGAAAACTCAACTGGTTCAATTGTCTCAAAATTCACAAACCTACATCTGAAGTCATCATCTGAATCTCTAGAAATAAAAAAACATAAAACCTAATATTCTCTCCAACAGGAATAATCATTTTGTCTCCCCAAACTAACTTACCTCGAAAATAAAAATAATCATTTGAACAATGTTCATATAGCACAGATATATACAACAGTTCCAAAATTAATTTCCTGAGTCATTAAAAGTTTTAAATTGTGGTTGTAACCACTAGCTTAACTAGTGAATCCTTCAAAGTTTTGGGTTTCTCTTGAGATGATAGTAACCTGCCTCAGGGGCAGAGAAGGGACCCTTAATATATTATCTTCTTAAAACCTAAATGAAAAGGATACTAGACTGCACTGGGAAAATTTCATTTGTGAATAAATATATGTATGGTCTATCATTTGGTAATTTTTAAGCTATCTGATAACTATATTGAAAAATTATCTTTGCTTCTTACTGAGTTAAATCTCTCAGATTTAATTCATTCACGTCCATCAAAGCCTTTCTAGGGCAAAGAATGAACCTGCACACATAAGACAATTCCAATAAAGATATTTTCTAAACTTAACCAAACATTGCTCCTCCCTCCTCAACCTGAAACTACACGGTAAATTCATTCAAATACAACCATTATAAAATCATTTTAGAAGACCCTTAACAACAGTAAAATTGACCTCATTATTTCAGTGTACTCACACATTTTGTTCACAGGCTTAGGACATAAGGACTCAAAACCACCTCTGATGCTTTCTGACAGATTGGAGATGAACTGGATTCCACAGGGGTGCACACTCCAAGGACATCTAGAAGCCAAATGACAAAAAATTAATATCTCCAGATTCTGTCTGTGCAGAATCAGGAGCAACTCTGAGATTTTTAAACTCTGAGTGTACCATCAAGGGAGTCAAGTCCATTTTTTGTTAAGCTTTGTTATGTTCCAAGATTTCATCAAAAATAGCATTGTATTCTGAAACCAGTTTTTCTGTATCAAAAACTTAACTCTGTTATTGTTTATATTAGTCTCAGTTTTCATTTCAAGAGGGACAGAATTTCAGACAGGGTATTGGCTTTTTATGAAAATTTATTCAAACATTTCATGAATTTTATAACTAGAACTTTAATTCATTCACAGAAAGAATATCATAAGACCATATAACATAATAGTTAAGAAGACCAGCTTTGAAGAGTTGGTATCAGTTGAGTTGGAGTCTGGTTTTTAAAGGTAAAATGAGACTAACACTAGTATCTATTTCATGATGGGGATGTTAAGATTAAACTTAGCACAGTACCCGACACATAGTGTTTAGAAATGTGAGATTTATTACTTTATTAGTCTCCATTCACTCAAAATTCACACATTCTTAAGAACCATTCTTACCCCCTGTGCAGGTATTCTACTCTTTTTAATTAATGAAAGCAGTTACTGTAGGAGATTGCCCCATAGCCAAAAGGGGAAAGTAGAAAGCTTTAATTGTAAGGCAAAGAACTTTCAACAAGCTCAGAAATTACCTCAAACTCAAAACCAACATCAAAAGTCAGTAGCAGAGTCCCCAGAAACGAAAACAAAACAGTTGCACAGCAGTATGTAACATCGGGTGAAAGCGGCAAGACCAAGTGTTAGGAGCTGCACTATGTCCTGTCAGTTTCCTCTTCCTCATGCAATGTCACTAGACAGGTATAGTAGACTCTTTAGTTCTGTCTTGGCCTGGGTTTCCTTCAAATCAGAATCAAAGAAAATGCCAATGAGTGAGTAATTTATTTGAATGCAATTCCAGGAAGTATGATTAAGGGATAAGGGAAGTGAAAATAGGAGAAAAAATAAATAAAAAGATATATTATCAAGTCAGTGCCATTATTAGCAACTGATTGTTTAATTTAGCAAGACTTTCTGAGAAGCCTTATGAAACTGATTTCAGAACCATGTCTACAAGGGAAGAAAAGGAGAAGCATCCATCCAAAGTTCCCATTCCCCAGAGATCAAGGATCACTCAATGCTGTCACCTCCAATGCAATTCCAAGTTGTTCATACATGAATGTCAAACAAGTTCCCACAGGTGGTCTTATGCCATGTGTGGTAAGGCATTATTAATTTTAATCTACATGAAGTAAATCAAAGCCTGAATGCAAATGATAGCGAAAGCCATGGTTGGAATAAGTGTTGAGGATTTAAAATGATGAGCAAAGAGTTCAGCAAACAAAAATCAGCCAATGTTAATACATCACATTAATAGAATAAAGGAAACCAAAGCACATGATCAAGTCAATTGATGCAGGAAAAGGGTTTTATAAAACCCAATACCCTTTAATAATAAATGTATTCAACAAACAAGGAATAGAAGAAAATTTGATGGTAAATAAACAAGATAAAGGACATTTTTGAGAAACACACAGTCAAAATTATACTCAATGATGAAAGATTCAAAGTTTTCCATCTAAGATCAAGAACAAGATTAGAATGTCCACTTTCACCTTTTCTATCCAACGCTGTACTAGAAGCTTTAGCCATAGTAATTTGGCAAGGAAAAAAAAATGGTGTCCAAATTTGAAAGGAAGGAGCAAAATTATTTTTGCTCACAGATGGCATGATCCTACATACAGAAAATCCTAAATAATCTACAAAAAGTCTATTAGAACTAATAAACACGTTCAGCAATAGTTCACTGTAAAGATCAACACACAAAAATCAGTTACAATTCTATATACTAGCAATTAACAATGTGAAAATGAAATTAAGAAAATTATTTTATTCACAATAGCATCCAAAACTGAAATAATTAGGAATCAAGTTAACCAATGAGGTGCAAGTTTTACACTAAAAATTACAAAACATTGTTGAAAGAAGTTAAAGACTTAAATAAATTGAAAAATATCCCATGTTCATGGATTTGAAGACTTAATATTGTTAAGATAGCAATACCACATAAAGCAATCCACAGAGTCAATGAAATCTCTATATAAATCCCAATGACATTTTTTGCAAAAATGAAAAAGCTTGTCCTAAAATTCATATAGAAATAAATTGACCATGAATAGCCAAACCAATCTAGAAAAAGAAAAACAAAGTTGAAGGACTCACACTTCCCGACTTCAAAACTTACTCCAAAGCTATAGTAATCAAAAAAAATGTGGTACCAGCATAAGGATAGACACATAGATCAATGAAATAGAATCTAGAGTCCAGAAATAAACTATGGTTAATTATTTTTTGACAAGGGTGCCAAGACCATTCAGTGGGGTTGGGAGAGGACTTTTCAACAAATGTTGTTGGGTAAATTGTATCCAAATGCAAAAGAATGAATTTAAACCCTTATTTAACACCATATGTAAAACTCAAAATGAATCAAACACCTGAATGTAAGAGCTAAAACACTAAAACTCTTAGAAGAAATATTGGGGTAAATGTTCATGACCTTGTATTTGGTAATAGATTCCTAGATATTACACCAAAAACACAAGCAACAAAATAAAAAATAGATAAGTTGGACTTCATCAAAATTAAAAACTTTTGTGCATAGAATAACACCAACACAAAAGTGAAAAGGCAACATACAGAATAGGAGAAAATATCTTCAAATCATAAAGCTGGTAAACACATACAACACAACACATGCATGTAAATAAATGTTGATAGTAGCACTACTCACAGTAGCCAAAAGGTGGAAACAAACCAAATGTCAATCAGCTGAAGAATGGGTAAACAAAATATGACATATGCATAAAATGAAACATTATTCAGCCATAAACATTTTAGAATGAACTACTGATAATGTGACAATGTGGATAAACCTTAAAATTATGCAAAGTGAAAGAAGCCAGATACAGAAGGTCACATTTTGTATGATTCTATTTATAAGAAATATCCAGAATAGGTAAATACATTGACAGAAAGTGGATTAGTGATTCCTGGGCAATAGGGGAATGGGTCCCAGCTGTTTAATGGGAACAGTGTTTCCTTCTGAGGTAATGAAAAAGTTTGGGAATAAGATATAGGTGATAGTTACACAATATTGTGGATTGCCACTGAGCTATACAGTTTTAAATGGTTATTTTTATGTTATGTGAATTTCACCACAACTTGTTTAAATGACTCACAAAAACATCTAGAATAGTTCTCAGTCCTCAGACTGCTATAGGTCTAGCTAACTGAAGTCATGTCACAGTCAAAGCAACTAAGTATGCTTCCTGAGTACAAGAGAGATTAATTGAGGGGATATAGAGAGAAGTAAATATGTTGGGAGTTCTAAGTAAATTACCTGAAGCTGCTCCTATCAGCCTAAGGTTTTGCCAAAGGTCAAAGTTAAAAACTTTTTAACTGAGTCACCTTGGGTCAACATAATTCCTCTGCACTTGTCAGTCTCTCTGTCTGAACCTAAATTATCCATAATATTCATCACTTATTCATGTGCTATTTTAGGATACTGTCTACATTTTCTGGCAGATAAGAAATAATATCTATAAATAAGCTTATTTAAGCCAATGAACAGGGAGAAAAATCAAAATGGGAAGAGAATAGAGGATAACTTTTGGATCTGAAATTATATAATTATAACTGGAGTTGACTGCACAAAGAGCTGTATTGTTTTCTCAATAAATAAATCAACTTCTGAAAACAGAAATAATGTATAAACGTGCATGGAGGATGGCGGATTGTGTAAGTAATATTTAAGAATACAAGCATACTATCACATCTTTCCTCTACACTAACATATCTCATTTATACTCTACTTAATTTATTTACTTTAACAGATAATATTGAGTCCTGCCCAATTTTAAAAGCAGTAATTTTCAACATTTCTCACCATGTCTTCATATGGATCCAAAGTCAGGTAGCTCCAAGACAAGTTAATCAATACCCTTTTTAAGCTAATGAAAAGTTCTTAAAAATTGTAACAATGAAAACAGACATACATAGACACATACACCAACGACTGCTTAGTGGACGTGTGGAATCTCTCTTTTCACGGCCCCTCTCTTCTTTAACCTGCTGCTTGACAAAAATTCCTAGTAAGATTCAAAGGGGAGGTGTGAGTAACATTGCAGATAACCAGGAGTTCTAGAGAAATAACCCATTTCTGGCTAGAAAAGGGAATTGTTAAATCCACAAGTCTCCTAGGATATCTTCATAGACCTCCTGAGTAGAACCCACTCTCTCCCCTTTGACCAAGTCAGAATAAACTTCTAAAGAGATATTCTGGAAGTCTCTTTGATCTTAGTGAGCTTGAAGGCCCCTCCCCCTTTGCACTCACTATATGGTTAATGATCCTCTTCCCCTTTCTTTTGGGAAAAAAATGAAATAAAATTTGCGACCGTCATCCACTGTTCTTAAATGACATAGTAATGTTGGTGTGTCCTTATAACCATGACAGCAAAAGTAGAGAGCATGCAATGTTTGCTAAATTCCTACAGGAAGTCTCTATTTATCCAGGAATCACACTTGTTTGCTGTTTTAATATTTGTCTTAGAGAATAGAGAAACTATATAAGGTTGAATGGTAGTCCCCAAAAAGTTATGGCCATGTCCAAATTTCTAGAACTTGTGAATGTTGCCTTATTTGGAAGAAGGATCTTAGTAAATGTGATTAAATTAGGATCTTGAGATGAGATTATCCTGGATTACCAGGGTGGGCCCTGAATCCAGTGACAGGATCCAATTAGTATCCTTATTATACTGAAGAAGAAAAGACATATGAAAGAGAAAGCAATGTGGTGATGGAGACAGAGATTGGAGGTATGTGGTCATAAGTCAAAGATGTCAAGGAATGCCTGGAGCCACCAGAAGCCAGAAGAGTCAAGGAAGAATTCTT